GGGTTACTTTCCAATTGTGATCTTCGCAGTGTCAATTGTGATTGGTTGTTGGGAGTGTGTCAGAGAGAGAGAAACACAGTGTGTATTCTCCCCTTATGTGCATAATTGCTATTCCGCTGTTTCTCTCTGATATGTGTGCAGTTGGACTCTGTCTCCTCCTCGCCCTTGTCTCATGCATGTATGGGCGTGTGAGTTCTTCTGTGGGTGAGTGGCAGTAAAATTGTCAGACAACCAAGTTCATAACAGTTGGTATCAGAGCGGAGATTGGACTTGGAGCTCAGAGGGTTGAGCGCAATAGGGGCAGCTTCTCTTTCTGGCCCTAACTGGCGAGAAGTGCCATGGTGGTTCTTCACCTTCAGTAAAGATCCAGTGGAAGAGAAAACATACAAGCAGTGATTGTAGACTATCAGTTTGCGATTGATCAGGCACCCTGAGCCTGTCTGTGTGCCTGACAGGAAGTGGCGAGAAGAGGGATATTTCGCCATCCACCATTCGGACCTCAGTTGATGACTGGGATCAGGGTGGCGAATTATACCCTAATCCAGTGATAACTGGGTGGCGGCTTCAACCCCAGTACAGCGCTGAGGGAGGACTGATCACAGGATCACCTCCTGCTAAAGTAACCCTACTCAGGGCTAAATTTAGCACCAGCGGCATACACCTTGCAGTGGCGAGATATCTTCAGGAGAGTTTTCTCTCCCCACTGAGCCAGATTCAGTGAATCTGAGAGGTGGGGCTGAATCACCACATCATACTGGAGCGGATCAACAAGTTTTAGGAGATCCTATACGTGGGAAGTTGTGGAAGAGTGTCTGCAAGTACTGGCGAGACCAGGGTTTGGCAGCCATAGCCAGAGCTTCAGCACCCACTGAGTGAAATACTTCAAGTGAGTGTGTTCCATGGGACTCCCTGAGTAGCGATTAGTATAGAGTCAGTGAAACTAGAGATGATGGTCTGTCTGTCAGTAGGGTCACAATCGTGAAATTGTCCGACTGCAAGACAACCATATCCATCGTCTTCCTCCCAACCCTGACTCGTATCTCACTATATATTGACCTGTTCTGACTCAAAATTGTTCTGGGACTGTATGACAGTATTGCGCTGCATCCTGTATGATCATATTGTGAATTCTGTGTAGGAAAAGTAGTGATACTGTGGATTTGAGTTTTGCGATGAGTCTATTTATAGTCTATGCTATCTAGGGTCGGTCACAACTCAAAATCTGTCCGTCAGAATTCAAGTCTGTCAGTCTGGGTTGAATCGCAATTTGATTTCTGTCATCTGTGCTCAAGCGCTAGTCCAGAATCATTGAATTTGGGTCATTACAGTGAAAACTTGAAATTCGCCATATCTGGGGGTATTTCTGTTGATGTCAACAGTGGCGAAATTTGAGTCTAGGGCTGTCAGGGCATAGGTTACTGCATCGCTACTACTTGCTGTGGTGTTTCAGTCAATTCTTGCCTGTCTCCATCAATACTACTAATCCTCTCTGCTTTCTGATGGGCTCTGGAATGCTAGTGACCTCTGGAATGCTGTGAATGTGCATCTTGCAACTTCGGTGAAAGTTCAGTGTCAGGTATAGGAAATCATTAGTGCATGATTTTACTGGACACCCAGTCAGCCTGATTCCTGACCCCAGCGGTTCAATTCCAACCCAAATCGCTTGTGCCCACTAACCCACACTACTCTGTGGACTGGCAGTGCATCAAATTTTGAGTTTCTGTGGGAACTGTAAATCGCTGCACCTCCTGCTGTCTTACTTATTAATTTTGTTGTTTTAAAGAGGGAAAATGTCTGACGCAGCTGACTCAGGTGCAGGGAAGGTAGAGATAGTAGTCAAGGAGGAAGAGCAATTTTCCCCCTCTGCTTCTACCCCTCCTCCTCTCACTCCTGCGCAACGGCGCAAGAAGGAGATACAAGAGAAACTGCGAGAGCAACAGGCGCTGCTCGCAGAGGCAGAAAGACGAGGCTGCAGAACTGGAAGCTGCAACCGATGCTTCCAGAAAGGAGCAGCTGCTGCAGCAGGCTGAGAAGACTGTTGCAGATAACCGGGTGGCCCAGTGTACTAGGGACCTGGCTGAGCTGGTAATTCTGTAGGACAAACTTACAGCCAGCCACTTCACAAACTGGGATGAGAGGATCTAGCGGCTGGAGACTAGAGTGGCTGATCTGGGAACTCAGCAGTCTAAGATCCTGGACTCCATCCAGAATCTGACTGCTCAGTTAACAGCAGCCAACGTCATCAGTCCCCTGGTCCCTGTGGTCCCCACTCCAAAGCCCAAGAAGCCTTTTCAGCCCCCTTCTCCACCTCCTTCGCCTTCTGGATCTTCTCATCCTTCTCGTAAGTCTTCTCCCTCTGTCACCTCCCAGGCCAAAGCCACGCCTCCTCCCACCTTTGCTGCTGTTGTTGCTGGGGACCACAGAGCCCCCAAGATCCCTGCCCCCAGCAAATTCAAGGGGGATGACCCCAAGGTTGACGTTGGGGACTGGGCAGCTGGAACCCGGGCATATCTCAAGGGGTTCCAGTGCCCAGAGCAGCAAAAGGTGGCAACGGTTGTGGGGCTGTTGGAGGGGCTAGCCCAGAAATGGGCTACCTCTACAGCCAGCGCCCAGTCACAGACTTTGGAGGACTGGGCATTGGCACTGGGGGTTGACAAACTTTTGCAGGCCCTGGAAGATAGGTTTGCAGACAAAGAGAGAGCCCGTAAAACTGTTGATAAGATTGTACGCCTGGGCCAACAGCGTTACAGCGGCAGTCTGCAGGCCCTATTTGCTGAGTTTGAGCAGCTGACTTCCACCCCTGGATTAGTTATGTCTGCTGATGATTTGTTGACTAACTTTTGCAGGGCTGCGCCTGAAAAGTTTTATGTTGCCTTGTACAGCGCCGGACACAAAGACCGGCGATCATTTGGACGAGCAGCACTGGACATGGAGGCCAAGCTCCATGTTCAGGCCCCCTCCAGTGACAGGAGGAAAGGCGCCTTCCCTCGCGGTGGTAGAAAGGGAAAGGCGGCCTTCGCATACACGGGCTCTGGGTCAGCCTCTGAGATAGGATCCCAGCCTGGTACACCGCCAACTGGGACTGCTGCAGCTGCTGTCCCGGATGTTGCAGCAGTCGTTCAGCAGCTGCAGGCTGCGCTGGGGGCCTTCCAAAAGGCCGGGTCTCCCTCCAGCACAGCCTCCAGCAGCAAGGGGAAGAGCCAGGGACGTCGCTCTTCAACCCCTGCCCGGCGCCCTAACCTGCCACGTGACGTCCATTTTCCTGCAGACCCCCTTGATCCCAACACCCTTCCCTCGCATGACTTAAAGATTCAGGAAGGGGTGTGGAGAAAGAGGAAAGAGAGGGGGGTCTGCCTGAGGTGTGAGGGACAACACTTCTTGAAGGACTGTCCCTACGTGCCTAGCCCAGCTCAATCAAAAAATTGAAGTTGCGCCTGGAGACAGCAGTTCCCTCCAGTGCTGCACCTGTATCTGCATCTGCAGCAGCTTCAGTTGAGACTTGTTCCTTCCTACCCAGTGCGGGGACTGCGCGGGCAGCATCCTTCACCTATGAGGATCCTGACCCAGATCAGGAACCGGACCAGTCTGAGTCTCAGGCACTTGCTGCTTTTTACTTTCACCTGAAGGAACAAAAGTAGAACAAGTCTGACCTCATACTCCTCCGGCCCGTGATCAACCACAGCAGGATCAAGGGGTTATTGGACTGTGGAGCCACCCGAAATTTCATGTCTCCCAGTGCAGTCAAAAAACTGCATCTGGGCATGAAAGTGGTGCAGCTGCAGCAACCGCTGCAGGTCGGGATAGGTGACTCCACTGTTTTGACAATCAGGGAGAAGGTCAGGGGTATCCCTGTCACCTTCGATAGTGCTGGAGAAGTCAGACATAGTTTGAACTTCTACATATTCCCTGATCTACCCTTTGACCTGGTCTTCTCTATGCAGTGGCTGAGAGCAGTCAACCCAAGGATCGATTGGCAGATCCCCAAGTTGAGCTGCCCAACAGCAAGGGGGTGTATCAGCCGTGTATGATTGCAGCTGATCACCACCCTAAGACATCCTGCTTCTGCCTGAGAGCGAGAGAGTTTTATGCTCTCTCACGCCAGTACGACCACGAGCGCCTGTTCATAGCTCTGGTCAAGCAGACAGACGCTCCTACTCCTCCCTGTCCTCCTGAGATACAACAGGTTGTAGACCAGTATGCTGATCTGATGCAGGAGCCCTTTGGGTTACCCAACCGTCCAACCAAGCATCACATTGAGCTGCTGCCAGGAGCGGTCCCTCCCAAGGGCCGCATCTACAGGATGTCACCTGCTGAGCTTGAGGAGCTCAGGCGACAGCTTGAGACCCTGACCAGCAAGGGCTGGATCAGGCCCAACACTTCTGAATTCGGTGCTCCAGTCCTCTTTGTTCCAAAGGGGAGTGGTGAGTTCAGAATGTGCATAGACTACAGGGGTCTCAACAAGATCACTAGGAAGAGCACAGAGCCACTTCCTAGGATCGATGACCTTCTGGATATGGTCCAGGGCTGCACCATTTTCAGCAAAGTCGACCTCAAATCTGGCTATCACCAGATTGAGATGGCAGAGGAGGACGTCCATAAGACGGCCTTCAAAACCAGGTATGGTACTTATGAGTACCTGGTGATGCCATTTGGACTTTGCAATGCACCTGGCACATTCCAGACTGAGATGCACCGCATATTCAGGCCGTACCTGGATAAGTTTATGGTTGTCTACCTGGATGACATCCTGGTATTCAGCAAAACTACCAAGGAACATGCGGAGCACCTGGCTCTGGTTCTTCAGTCGTTACGTGACAGCCAGTACAAGATCAACAAAGAGAAGTCCTCTTTTGGAGTTCCCTCTGTGATCTACCTGGGTCATGTAACCTCTGGAGATGGTCTGGCCCCTGAAGCAGTTAAAATTGCTGCTATTCAGGATTGACCACAGCCCCAGACAGTGAGAGATGTCCGGTCTTTCTTGGGTCTGGCCTTCTACTACAGAAAGTTTGTCGGAAACTTTTCTGCAGTGGCTGCACCCCTGACTCCCTTTCTTTGGTCTCTTCACTGCCAGATGGCCTTTGCACGACTCAAACAGGCCTTGACTCGTGCACCTGTTCTGAAGTTACCTGACCCCACTTTGACATTTGTCCTGACCACTGACGCCAGTCAATATGGCATTGGGGCAGTACTTCAGCAGGATGATGGGAATGGTCTGAGACCTGTCGAGTTCATGAGTAAGAAGATCAAGACTCAGGAGCTTCAGGACTCTACCTACGAGAAAGAGCTGTATGCTCTTGTCAGTGCCCTGAAACATTGGAAGCACTTTCTCCTGGGCAGGCATTTCAAGATCTTTTCTGATCATTCCACCTTGCAGTGGTTGAAGTCCCAGGGAGAGTTGAATGATAAGTTGGCACGCTACATTCAGTTTATCGATCTGTTTGACTTTGAACTGGAGCACAAGAAGGGCGGCTACAATAAAGTAGCTGACGCCCTCTCTCGTAGGCCTGACTCTTTTGCGCTGATCTCCTCTACTCATTCCTTTGGAGAGGAGGTCCGTCAGACCATTGCTCGTTACCGCCTCAGGATCCGACTTATGGACCCATCGTCAAGAATCTACAAGCAGACCCCAATTCTGAACCAGGCTATGCCATGAGTTCAGATCTGCTGTATACGTACAACAGAGGAGAGGAGCGCTTGTGTATCCCTGAGGATCAGCAGTTGAGGACACTGCTGATGTCAGAGTGCCACGATGCACGTGGACACTTTGGGTTCTTAAAGTCGTATGCAGCCCTGTCGCAACGCTTCTTCTGGAAGGAGATGCAGAGTGATATGTTGCGCTATGTGGACACCTGTGAGCTCTGCCAAAGGAACAAGGTTCACCGTAAACCTCCTTTGGGATTGCTCAAACCTTTGCCCATACCTGATGGTCCTGCACAGTCTGTATCCATTGATTTTACAAACTTAGGCAAGACCACCGCTCGTGGCATGCACCATGGACAGGTTTTCCAAATACGCAGAGATCATCCCCTTGCCAGAGGTAGCCAGGGTACCGGCTGTGAGAGCAGCCTTTTCTGAGAGGTGGGTTACACACCATGGACCGCCCATCTCTATTGTTAGTGAACGAGACCCCAAATTTTGCAGCGATGAGTGGCAGGCCTACTGCAAGGACTATCTGCACTCACGCCTGGACATGACTTATGGTCGTCATCCTGAAGCCAATGGATTGGCCGAAGTGATGAACCAAGTCCTATTCCAGCTACTACGTCCTGTTATCTCTCCAGATCAACAGGACTGGGATCTCCACTTGGCGAGGGCACAGCTCATGTATAACATGTATGTCCACTCCTCGACAGGGTTCAGTCCCTACCGGTTACATTGGGGACGTGAGCCACGACAACCTCTCGATGATATCATCGATAAGGCTAAGCCTGACCTTACCCCAGGCACGACAGAGTTCGCCAGACGCTATCATCTGGATGTGGAAAGAGCCCGGGCGAACTTGTTCAAGGCCCAAAAGGCCATGATTGAACAAGCCAACCGCCACAGGCGGCCTTCCCCCATCCGCACTGGTGACTATGTCTGGGTGGCCAGTTCTGAGTTGCCGAGGGAGGAGGATATCTTCCCCAAGCTGCTGCCACACTACCTGGGTCCATGGCAGGTTCTAGATACAGTGGGCGCTGATTCCTTCGGTCCGTCGTATGTCGTCCACGTTCCGCTGCATCTACGAACCTATCCGGTCTTTCATGCATCCAAGCCGTTGCCTTTTACACCAGTTGATGCATTCCCTGACCGGCCCCCTCAATGGGGCCCACCAATCCCTGGTAAGGGATATGATGTGGTGGCCATTGAGGATGAGTGGGGCACTGGCCCCGACCGGCAGTATCTTGTCAGGTTCGCTTTTCAGCCCCCTTCTGAGAACCGATGGTTCTACAGGAGAGACCTGATCAAGACAGCAAAGTCCGTTGTACTGCGTTATGAGGCGGCTGAGAAGGGTGGCCTTCGCCGTTCGCCTCGTCTACACCCCTAGCTCGGAGGATTTCTGCTGTCGAGACTGACCGCGAGGCTGTACACTAACCGTAGGGTTAGATTCGTAAATTTGTTTGGCTGAGGGCTAATCGAGAGACCTGCCTGGTTGGAAATTCATGAGGGACAGATCTGCAATTCCGGGAAAATACAAGCCCAGTACTAACTGAATTTCTACAGGTACCCTAACTGCCTATAGCAGGCCCGGGCTACCCCTAGGACAGACAGGCCCTAAGCGGCCTATACTGCTATACGGTCCCATAACCTATAGCTGGGTCCGGTAGAGGCCGAGAGGCCAAAACAGCAGCGGTACCGGTAGGTCCAGTCAGTTCAGTGTAGGTCTAGGTTAGAGTTGGAAGTCTATAAGTCCGGTAGGGAAATCGGGTAGGGACTTTTGGCTTTTCATTTTTTGCGTGACTGCGTTCGTGGCCAACCAAGTTTAGCATCGCTGAATGTCTACAGCGGCACCTGCGACATCAGTTGTGTGAGGCAGCCATAGCCCGCCTAGTTGAGACAGCCATAGCTGGGGCTGTGCTCAGCG